CATCGACCATGCTGGAAGGAGGATCGCGTTAAATAAGCCAATCTGGAAACAATCAGGAATCGCCACCAAAACGTCGTATCGTGTTCTGTGTGTGCAAGAGAACCCAAACGCTTTCCCACGCTCACGAACCAATCAAATGAACGAGACGCAATTCTGCAGACTTTTCTACACAAAAACAAACACGATACAGGTTCAGCACAGAAGGCCTACAGCTATTATATATGTTTATCATTTGCAGTTTCGATATATTTTCTAATGACAATGGGTTTTTTTTTCTACAGACTCTCTGTTAGAAAAGGCCCTTTTTTCAATAGACGAATATTTTTGTTTCAACAAAAAGACCTCTCTCTCTCTCTCTCTCTCTCTCTCTCTCCCCAATTTACGTCTATCTTTGTAATTATGTCAGGATTATAACAACAGTCTTATCTCCCTTTTTTCATCTCTGGGACAATGATCATCGCGCATGTCAGGTGACCACATGGCCATATGCCACTTATGACATCATGTCCAATCTCATGGCATTGCCAGAAAGGTGTTACTGGTGTAAAACCGAGATTTTAAGATAATGTATAAAAATAAAAAGGTGTCCAGCATACTAATCGGTGTTATGATCATAATTCTGTGCAGAACATATATATAAATTTTGTTCATTTAATTATCTGTCAATTTTCCATTAGGCCTAATTCTTTATAGAAATGGAATACATTGTATACTTACTGTAATCATAATGTCATAAATTATCGCAGTCTCCCTTTAAAGCTAAATTTTCACATGCATTGAATTTAAAATAAAACTGGTTATTTCTTTTGTATATTTTTTTTCATATTTGTTTTAATCTTTTTCATTTTTTATCACGACTTCTTTTTCCCCTACATTATTTGTTTTCATTAAACTAAGTTTTTTTTTTCTAATGGACAAATGATACAAACAAAAAAAGAGGATGCCTGGTTTCAGTGATTTGATATATATATATATTTAGGGAACATACAGTACTTGCTGTATATATGAAGAAATTGTTAACTTTCCATATGATGTTCAAAATCCAACCTTTCTGCGTTAGTCCTTTTAAATCTAAACATTTCTTTATATGATTCTAGTACAGGTCATTATTGTGCAACTTTGAATTTAAAACTAAATTCTTTCCTGTTCAAGTTATTCTTCTTACTTTATAAATTATTTTCATGATTTTTTTAAAAAAAAATTGTATAATCTATCTTTAAAACAAACCTTTCTTCATTTCATGTCGATCACACAGCTCGTTTCTCATACAAATTGTATACATGTATTGAGTTGATAAATTATTTGAATACAATATTGAAAAAAAAAATTATGAGGGAATATTGAAAACTAGCTAATATAATCCATCTAATCTTCGTGGTTATTTACCTAATTAATTTACGGTTGTCATATTTCACTTTATAAAAATTGCACATTATGCAACGGCTGACATGTTTACGGTGGCGTAAATACTACTGTATTTAGTGATGACTGATGGCTAATAAATACCTTGTTCATGTTTTCACACCAGAGGATGACCATTTTATTCTATCCCTAACATCTAATCATTATGAGAGGTGGCACTAATCACCAGTATATCCTTACTCAGTTTTTAGTTTACATATCCTTGGAGGGCATATTTCATTGAAAAAATAACAATGACCTTAAAGGCTTCTAAATATGTAATCGTAACACATACGTGTCATGTTTGTTTTAAGTATTCACACATTTGTTTTTGCAGAAAAACAAATATTTGGGACTTTGACAGGTCATCTAGTCATTTCATACACTTCGGGAAAATAATTAATCACTATCGCGCTCAGCAAAATTTTCTTTCTTTTTAATTAATTTTTCGCCAGAGAATTTTCAATTGTTATGATATTAATTAGAGAACTAAAAAAAATCTTCATAAATGTCTTTTATATTACACTTCCTCAAATTGTGGCGCTTTTTTTTTTACACATTTGAATAAAAGATGCTAAAATAAAATAACCTGCGGCTAACAAAAATAATTTGAGATTTTTTTTTCAATTTCAAATTTTGACAAGGTACTTGCTATTGTGACCTGGATTTTTGTGTACACAGGTGTCAATTTCATTACACCTTTTGTAATTATCCAACTGCCAGGGATGTCCAATTATCTATCAATTAAGTGTAGATTGCGTCAATTACTCTACTAACTGGCAACTGCTGGAAATTCACGGGGCTCGTTTCGCTGGGATTAGCTTATCCTGGTTTATCTAGTCGTCTTCATGTAATACTTTTAACATGTGCATGTTAAATGCAAAGAAATGAACAGGTTAATTCCTGGTGATCAATTGCACTCATGGGAATTTTCCACGCCACAGTTAGTTTTGAACAATATATCTAAAAGCTTTTGATTTTGGCCTCAGATCTGAGGCAAATCCTCATTTCCTAGCCTGTTACAATTTTTTTTTTTGAGTTATATTTCTGCATAGCACTTCATTATTTGTAATTAACAAATGCTCTGTAATAAATGCCATTAGAATTACATGTATTAGTGTAATACAACAACCCAAAAAGTAGAGTTAAGAATACAAGTAGTAATAAATAAAATAAAGTAATTGACAGACATTGATTAACACGTAATTCGGTCTTTATTGTTAATTATCATAATAGGTCATTTTCACTACTATGAAAATAATTTTATTTGTATTTGCAAAGTGCCGCGGAAAACAGTTTTTTTCCAATGTCGTTCTTAGAGCAGTAACATCAAGCAATTGCCGCGTCTGCTACGCTCTATGTGTTAATGGAAAGATGCGGCTTTTACTTTGTAGAGGGACTTTGAAGCCATTCTTCTGGTATATGCATTCTAACAGTTTTTTCCCGTCTATTGTCTGTGAAGGTGTCCATACACAAATAAAACGAATCATTCAATGAATGGCTTTATTGCGCCGTCTCAGTTTTATTTTAGAGTTATCACCCTTTGACCAAATAATCAAATTTTAATTGAAGGCATTGCAAATCCGATACAAAATATATCGATGTCAGATTCAAGTTACAATATTAAAATACTTTTAAAATGTGGTCAGTCATTTTTTGTAACACTATGGGGCCAACACACCCGTAGGGCGATGTTCATTAATATATGTAAAGGTGACTAAATTAATACCATTAATCTTCATTACGATATTGGCAGGTTCCTAAAAAGATTTCAGGTTACTCATGAGCGCCGCGTAACTGGTTAATTAACTAAGATATTCCACGGGAGATTGGAAGAATATAGTTTATGTTTTCATGCGTGTCATGTACATGGCATTCCAAAATGGTTAATTTCATGAATATTCATAATTAATCAATGTAATGCTGAAAACTACATATACAATTTTCATCAAAATGCTAGACCCCCCTTCATTTTGACAACTGAAACTTTTTCTCTAGAAGTTATGACACAATTGTATTAATCATTGGAGTTTTATTGTGTCCTAGAAGCCGCGAATTTTCAGCTTTTGGAACAGTTAGTTACACCTTTTACAAGCACCCTTTAGCGGAATCGCACCAAAATCTTGTTTTCATACAGAGATAAATAAATGAAATCTCTTCACAAATAGTTCTAGTCTCTCAGCAGATAATTGTGGGCAGTGGGATGGGGTGAATCTTAAAGTTGACATATGAAAGGGGATTTGCTACGTTTATTATCATATACCGGTGAAACTCAGTGGTGGATCAAGTCACAATAGGTTTCAGCGATAATTCATAATCACAAGGTACTTTGACACTTACCTGGATTTTGATAATGAATTGACAAATTCTTTTACCTTGAAAATACTTTTGGGTGTCATCACAACAAATAACGGGTCAAAATTTACTGACACAAACAACTGACGACCGGAAAATCCCTTATACCCGAAAATTAAAGATTTTTTTTTCGAGAAAATGAAATAATTGCGATTTTTATAATACCTTTTTAAAATCTTTTAAATTTGATTTTTCTTTCGTGTTCCGACTGTATAACTCAAAATTATTTAATTGTCTTGAAATGTAAAAACATGAAAAAGTGTAATTAATTTCAAATCAATTACATATGAGTAATTTTAGAACGTGATTGTGTTTACATAATGGCCCCTCAGGACCGTTACTATGTCTAAGGGTATCTATTTTCTCAATTAAAATGTATTTTCTCTAATAAGCGCAAAACTAAGTAGATAATTGCTCTCGCCACAGACAGAAACATTTGAGTCGTATTACTATCATATCTCCAAAAATAAACAAAACACTCAAACCAAGCTGAAAGCAGGTGTTCTTGAGTAATACATCTCACTGAATAAACAGCGGAGATTGAGTACTTCTTTAATGTATCCAAAAATGAAAAAAAGATAAAATATCATATTAACTACAAGCTCTCTAATTACAATTTAAAAAAAAAAGGCATTTTTTTTATATTATATATTTACGTTGTACATGTGTATGTTTATATACTGAAAATACTGTTTGTACAACTTTTATCAATTGATAATAAATTAAGTACAGTCACACCATCACCAATATGAACCTTTGAACGTCTAGAGTTAAAATCGTACGTTTTTAAGTTTGTAATGGTAAAACGGGCTGTTTGATGGAACTCCATGACAACTGGCGGGAAGAGCACAAGTGTCCCCAGTTTACTATTTTTTTAGCGGGAAAATTCTCTATGCCACATGGTTTCGACGACCAGTAAACATGGTAAAGAGAAGTTTAATAGCACCACCCCCTCAAATAAGAATAAAAAAAACTTAATTCAACCACGTCGAGATCATTCTCACGTAATTGGTTTAAAAAATAATAATTTTCATAATAAGTAAATTCAATGTTATTTTAATATATTCACGTAAACAAATCGTTCGTATGTATAAATATTTTTTTAATCACGAGGATTCTCTGGTACAGGTATCGTTTTGCCTTAGCCAATCAGCGATAACCTTACGCATCACCGACCGTATTAAATAGTTGATTGACGTCGCCTCGTGTAACTTAGCTCCGCCCATTAAGTTCTTAACGTATATATACACACCGCACATCGCAGTATAAGCAACACACACGATTTAACAACGATACGACGAAGACACAACTTGGATTTATACTATCAAACACGACAACAGCATGTCTACAGAGCTGTTTCAGTCAGCTTTTTATGATGTTGGGGATTTATTATATAAACAGGTATGTGTTAAAGTTAATTTATTTTATCAATTTCTGATAATAAAGCGGTTTTTACACGTAAATAAATCGAAGTTGTTAATATTGAAATTGACATGCGACTTTCACTTTAAAGTTTTAGAACATAGAACATACAAGAAATGGAAAGAAAAGTCGGTCAAACTGTCTGAATGTCAAACTTATATCAGTGTCATTCTTTAATTTAGCAGAGAAAGAATTTGCTGAAGAATCAGATGAACGAGAGACGTGCGACAGTTACAGCAGCCACGATGTCGACCACTGTCGTTAAACCTAGGACCATGTCAACGAATTCCTTCATTCCGATCGGAGGTCAAGCTCCCTCGTCCGTGTCTCCCCCGGGCAGTGAGTCCTGTCTCCTCAACAACCAAGAATCCCTCCACCGTAAATTGGACAGAAGTATGAGTGAACCTGGTGCTACTTTAAATTCGACCACAGCTAGACAACAAACTCAAAATGTGAATTCAAGTCGTTACAAAACGGAGTTATGCCGTCCATTCGAGGAAAGTGGCCACTGTAAGTACGGTGACAAATGTCAGTTTGCTCATGGTGCTCACGAACTTCGAAACTTGAATCGTCATCCCAAATACAAAACGGAACTGTGTCGTACATTCCACACTATTGGATTTTGTCCGTATGGACCCAGATGTCATTTCATTCACAACGACGAAGAAAGAAATCAGAACGTCAACCAAAATCGCCCTCCAAATCACCCAGCAATGATGACCGCATCCACAACAGTTCAACAACAGAATTTCCCGTCTCACATGGACCATTTATCTCAGGTTAAGCGCCCAACAAGTTTCAGTTCTAGTTGCAATGGATCTCTAGGTTCAAGTTCCGAATCACTTTCATCCAGTGCGAGTGACTCTCCGAGCCTAAGTCCCATTTTCTGGGGAAATGATGACATTTTCAGGGATTTTTCTTCATCCTCGCAGTATTCCAGTAGTGGATCTAGCAGCCCGGTGTTCGATTATTCGGCGGATCCAGCTTCTTCATTGGCGGCTAGTCTCCTTACTCCTTTGAATGTGCAAACCGCCGCTACTACCGCCAATCAAAATCTCGCCTCGGAAATTAACATTCTTCAGCAACAGATAAATGTAATCATGAACCTTTCAAACCAATGCAATGATAACCACAGTGTGTTCGATAGCGCCACCTCGTGGGATCTCGCGCCCCCCGCGCCCCATTCCCCTCCCGACAGTATTTCGGGGGACAGTCTCGGCAGTGCCTCTAGTGGAAGTTGTGGAAGCATTAACACTTGTGGCTCTCCTTTGGACGTAAGCAAATCTTTGCGTCTTCCTATTTTCAACAAACTTTCTCAAGACGATTAAATAAATGACGAAGAGGGAGACATCGACAAGCTGAAATTCGCACAAAAACTGTTTGCCAAATAGACTTTATGCCGACTCAAATGCTTGACTAAATTGCAGGTTATTTGTTTTTTTTCTGTTCTAAAACTCAAGGTAGAAAGCCTTGTTAAAGATTTTTCTGTTGAATGTTACGTTGTTTGATTACGATACACAGATCTTCTAGGATTTGTAAGGAAAGTTTGAATGTTTGTGAATTTTTTTGACAAAGTAGTTGAAATCATTTATACTATGCAAATTCTTGTCCGAATGACTTTATAACTAGGTCACGTTTGTGATCAATGATTTTTTGTGGGATCCAATTTTCATTTTTTCTTCAGTCTCGTGCTAAAACATTTACAATATCGTTTTGTGGTGTAAACAGGAATCCATTGTTTGTTTTGCATGTATATTTATTTTTTGCACAGGTTTATAAGACGATTTGTGCTTCATTCTAAGGCATTTATCAAATCATCACTTTCCGTTCTAACTTATCAACTTATTTAATTCAAGCGATGTACTTCAAACATTGAATTATTTATTGATGCATTTTCACGAGTTATTTAAGTTCACAACTGTGTGAGAGGAGAGAGTGTTGTGGACCGAGAGAAAAGTTTTATATCTATATATATTATATTGTTTTTTATTTCGTTAAATTATGAAGTCGCCAAAGATATGGTTTATATGTATCTTTCATTCGAACGTTCATAAAATCCATATTGTGTATATTTTCATTGTGTATTTATGGCCCAAAAAGGTCTATTTTTCATTTGAATGCCAATTAAATTAATGAAAGCTTTAATTATCTCTTGGTTTTACTTACTAAATGGGTGTTAGACCACCTGTTGGGGTGGTTATTGGACAGAATTGAGGCTTTACTTGAAGCGCAATAAGAACCTCGCTTTCACGGTCTAATGATTCAGAATTGATTACATTCTATCAGTGGCATGATCTGCATGGGAATTTCGTGTACCAAGCGAAAACGTTATATAATTAAAACAGAGGTGTTAGAAACAAGTGAAGAAAGTCAGGAACTAAAAATATCAATTGCATTTATTAATTTCTTTTAATCGAGTGGCTTGTTTCATACATACTCTAAAGACAATGAAATCGTGGGAAAATAATGTTTTTTTCACTTTGCTGTGAAATGTGACGTCACATTTCATTCAAGTGTTTTTATCTGTTGACGTTTTGACGTCATGAATGAAACGGCCTTGGAATATCGATAAGCAAAGAAAACATGACAAATAATGATACAAAATTTCAGGCAGTAGATTAATCGAATTCAAAGAGCAAAGGAGAAGCTGAAAAATGAATAGTTAAACACGTATCAGTGTACTTGCCGGCGATATTAGAGCATAAAGGAGATGAAATATTTGCTTATCTTTGAAACCTCTGGTCAAATCGATTAGTGTTATCAAACGAACAGAGCGAAATTCTGTGTAGAAGTTACAAAATAGACGTCTGGATTTTCAAGTTAAAATAATGGTAATTAATAAAAGAGGTACTTAAAAAGTATCACTGAAATGAAAGTACTCGAAAATTTGGTGTTTTTGATATATCTGAGAGGGAAAAACCATCTCCGTAGAGTAGAGTAAAATTAAATGTTTTGTGTGTGGTTGTTATTTTAGAGAGCACGTGTCCTCGTTGACACGTGTAGAAATCAGCTACAATCTATGAAATTCTCATGCAGTGTTTGTTCCTAAGAACAATGCTAAACAAAGAACCTGCATTCCGTAAATATGATTAACTAATCTATAATTATTAAATATTGTTGATAAAAAGAATGACAATTCTTTACATTGCACAATAGGCACAGAATAAGACACGACGAGGCGTACGAACGTTACTCTTAACCGATTTTAAATAATGAACTGTTTATAACATCAAACGAATGATAACTTAGAATACATATTTAATGACTGAATAAAACGGAATAAGAAATGGACATCTTTTTAAATAGCGTGGGGCACGATTTGGTTGTAAATAACACCCAGACTGGTAAACCAGCGATGCGCTCTCGTCATGAAAAAGACGTGCCATACACATTGGAGAAAAATAATACCGCTGAGAGAGAGAGAGAGAGAGAGAGAGAGAGAGAGAGAGAGAGAGAGAGAGAGAATATAATAGATAAAATATCTACTTAGTTCTCATGATTATCTGACGTTTGCACTAGTTTAACAAACTTTAAATGTCCTTCGATAAATGAGGACACAGTTAGTTTGCAGTTTATAACAAAACCTGAGCCCACACACATGAACGGTGGGGTGTACTATTGGGAACCCTGACAAGCTATTCGTGTCTTACAGCAGATATCCCGATGATCTTGTCTCTATTGAGAAAAAATAGAGATGAAATGCACCCAGTATCATATTCTTGTCAGGCTGGCCCCAAGACACGCACAGAATTCATAGGATACTATTCTACATCTGATTTATAAGGGACCGAAAGCTAAAAAAAAAATCTAGCGAAAACGACGAACAAATAGGCAAGGTGCCCGTATTCATCATCCTAGTGACACGAATTCAAGAAAACGAAGTTGCATTATTATCATCTGCATCATAGTTCATACCATAAATGAATAAGTCGGCAGTTTGTAAACAGTGATTGTGGTAAAATAAGTAGCATAAAAATGGGGGGGGGGGGGGGTTGCGAAGAAATAATTCATGCCCTTCAACTTTGTCACTTGGCATAAAACAACTTATTTCTTGTGAAATTACTTCATAAATATTTGATGAAGAAGTAAAATAATTTGAATGTAAAACATGCCTGAAGCAATTGCTTGCTCCAGATAAGTGTTTCACCATTGACATCAACTGCAGTTTTTGCTACCAGTGACGTACGATATGTAAAAATATCTACAAGTTATATGCATATTGCGATCTGCGAGACCAGCCATGACATTTGTGAGCACGTCTTCTTCTCGCTCGCTTCTTCGTTGGCCTTCACTAAGTTTTACGACCAAATGTGTAATCAACAATATTTATTCTAAAACGCTTAACAAGCCACCTGTTGAATAAAGATGGAACTTGTGAAATAAAGCAATCTAGAATCATTTCATCATAAACAGTCCCTAAGAATTTTGTACTTCCTTTTAGCCATATGAATCCCTCCCCCACCGCAATCTCGTGGGTGAATGAAAAACACAATGACCAAGCAAACAACAAAACAGTCTATGAGCCTAGCAGTCTGATTGACAACTGTCCGAGTGATGTACGCTGTACTATACAAAATCCACGCTGGAATATATTCTATGTGTGTATAAACCCATGTTATGAACCATGAAATCCCAATAAACCGCCTTTTTTTCTATAAATCACATCACATTCTGTGCGACTGAACACTAACATATATACAAAGGAAAAATTACAAATAATATGTATACTGGTATTTTTATGTTATGTATACAAACGCATGTTTATTGCACAAGGTTATGTAAAATAAAATACCATGTATTTATTTTTTTAAAAAGACAGCTGGAGTACTGCATATAATGAGTTTTCAGTTTCTATACCACTAGTCTATAAAATTTGAACATTATAATAAACACTGATGAATCAAAACACCACGAAGTCCAAAGTTATAAATGGCTCATATTTTGAGAATTTTATTAAATTCCTTAGAAATGTCTGCGATAGAAAAGGCAATCTGGAATATAGTTATATACTAGAAGTGTCTATAAATTATGCCAGGAAGCTATAGTTAGTATGAAGGTCCCTCATTATACCAGTAATAATCCTTACAGTATATATATAATTGCGCTGTTGGGATACGATCGTACATGCGAATGGATATCAGCATGGAAATTCTATCGGTTTTCATCATTTATTGATAAATATTCGAACCAATTCATGTCAGTGATTTCAATAAATACCCAATAAACGCGGCCATACAGTCCGGCAATGCATATATACACCAGATAGGGACCGACTCGCCTCGTAAATTCAGAGCCAGCGATGTCCACGCGTATACTTATGTATATGTATACCTATATGTGTCGTCCGCACGTTATGTGATGTGATGCACCGGATGACCGATTGCTACACCAGTGGGATACGTATAAATATTGATAGTCTATCAGACATAGCCATGCTGACAGGCATACACTATGTCCGTAACCATCTATCTCCCTCTCTTAAAAAAATACAGTGTATTGTGTACAATATAGAGGACGTGTAATTATATGTGTTAGTATATGAATTTTAAAAATATATATAGAATTTGAAAATCTAATTGTGTTGTTGAATTGACCACATATTTTTGTCCCTTTGAACTCGTCTGTTTGTCATTTCAATTATCCCAGAGTGACAAAAACAAATGATTCAGACTATAATTCCAGAGTCAAGATCATAAAGAAGAAAAACAAGTTATTTTTCCAATGAGATATATGACATGTATATAAGAGCAAATTATTTCTGTAAATTATCACATTAACTGTACGTAGGAGGGGAGGGTTGAGAACGGCAGGTCTACCCGACTTCTCCCATAAAACACTTCAGCCAGGTGAGTTGTACTTTTAGTTCCTTACAAGGAAATAACAGGAACAAAACTTGTTACACCAGAAAACCACCTTGTGGCGAGATAATTAAAAAAAAACAGTCGACGATGAATTTCTTTTTTATTTAAAACTGTATATTTCTGGTGACCTATTTAGTTCACACACACTCGGCAGTTATATATGTGTGATGTCGCTGATGGCCCGTAGCTTTCATTTATCTTTTCTACTCATCGGTCCTACCACCTGTTACTCCAGATTTACATTCCCTTGATATGATTCATAAACATCGATCTGGATATTTATCACTAACTTCCATGTCACATATTTTTCTATAAATGTTAATTGTTTTGATCTAATTATGTAACCATCGTCATCATCATCGTCTCTCTCTCTCTCTCTCAATTTATATAGAAAGCGGCTCGAAAGGAACCAACAAGTGTGGGGTCTGTAAATTAGAAACGAATAGAATAGAAGAAGTGACCAAAAACAATACTTTTTGTGAACTAAAATGACACTGCATATCAATGGACATTTCCCCATGTGTCTGATCAAAAAAAAAAAAAAAAACCGAATTATTGTGCAATTCGATTTTTATACTAATACGATATAGCAGCATTTTTTGAAAATGACTCTCACATTTATCACTTAATCGGATGTATCTGTAACCTCCATTAGAAATCAATTTATTCCCATCACAAACCCTCTTCTCTAGATACAAGTACACGTTCCTTTCTAGATCGTAATAATAACCAGGAGAATCGTGTCACATAGCGACAAATAAACCCACCTTCTGTATGAAATATTAAAGATAAAATATGCAAATATTTTCAGCCATTCATTCGCTCGTAAAACTTCGGATAGTCTGACAATTAGGAAACACAACAATCTTTAAGATAGTAAGAGGGAAAAAGTCATAGCGCATGAAGACGAAACCCACATGCATGGAGGCACATAGTATACCTAGAAAATCGTAAATGACTCAATGTCAGCTAAAATGCCTCTCCGAATATTCATAAAGTTGACATGAACCCTAGCCCACTGATTACAGTACTGGTCCTATGGTTAACAGTGTGTGGCCGTCGTAAATTGTAGAGAACTCTGAACTTACTGGTGGACAGTCGTGTTTTTATCTCTCCCCTAGACGAACTGTAAACGTAGACAATGTTTATTGTACAATACTGAATAAACAAACAATGTGTTATATCCTATCTCTCTCTCCAACATCTGTCCTTCTTACCCTCTTCTACTACATAAAACACAAAGTTATAAATGGATTAATGAACCACGTTATAGATTAAATTTAT